AGTGAATGGGCTATTCAAAATCAAATCAAATGTGAAGAGCCTATCATACGAGAGTCCACCATTTCGAAAGAGATTACCGTTAATGCATGCCCTTCAAATATTAAAATGAAGGCTTAACAAAGCCATCTCTATGAATATTAACGCCCTGAGAAAATTGATAGTGGCAATATATAAAGGAAGCATTGACCAGAATAAAATTCAATTAAAGTTAACTAATAGGAATATACTATATTAACAAAATTATAGTTCTATATATATATATATATATATATATATATATGAATGAAGATGACCGATTATGATGAAAAGCCCGAAATTTTGTTAAAGGTGCTATAAAGCTTACATAGTGCCGACTCAACCATAAGCCGAAGTCTCGCCTCAAGTGCATATGGGTTAGCATTATCTCCAGCGAGAACAGCATTGCAGATATCTTTCAGAGGTTGCAGACCAGGGGGGAACTAGATTGCAGAATCCAAACTTCATGAATATCACTCGGTACAAAAATAAATATACAATGGTAATATGACCTACTTCAAGCCGATAGCGAACTATAAGTTGAATTAGATTTGATAGGCATTCGATGTGTTTCTTAGCATTCTTTTCACTGAAGTTACAAAGGTTAAACTTGAAATAGAATTAACCTTGAAAAGTGTGGAATAAGAAACAAGAAGCATTGTGCAGCAAGCATATAGAAACGGTCTGTATTCTTCATGCAGAATTGTGAAAGACCCTAGGGAAAACCAAGAGTATGAATCGAAACGATAGAGAGTAAGAGATTTTTGATAAACGAAACCTACAAGCCATGCCTGGACGTTCTTGGGATCAATTATAAGAACCCTATGGGCCGCATCAACAGCTTTATCTTCGTATTTGAGATTATCATAGCAAGCAGATGCAAGAAGAAGGCAGGCAATATTTGTATTGGCAACTCCTTCCTCAAAAGCTGGCTATAAGCAAAGAAATTCTGCGTAAATTTAAAACCTCGAAATTTTAGCAGCACAACTTAGAAAATAAATAACCTTGAGGATCTCTAAGCATTGTTCAAATTCCTGCTTCTGATATAATTCCCTAGCCCTTTTAGCACATTCCTTCACACTTATAGGCATCTGTGTTAAAAAATGGGTCAGAATCTGCATGACCTTAACTTGAATAGATGAGTCCCTATCAAAAATTTAGCTTGAACAATATATATTCAATTAAGACCGGCTTTTCGCTTAAAATATGATATCAATCGTTTCTAATAATTTTTAATTACGCAATGAGAGAATTTTGAAATTAAGATTTGCAAATTTGTGTTTCCATAGCTCATTGTTCAAAGTGGTATAGTTCTTAATTTCCGTTATCAAATTTTATTCATCAATAGACACAACTATATTTTATTTGTCTAACATTTAAGAAACATTTCTTGCTCTTTATTTAAACAATTGAACTCTGTTAAAATCTGTAAGGGTGTTTTCAAGTATTTGAACAAATATTTGTATTGAATTTCACCCTTTAGTTAACTTTGGGCTTTACAGAGAGGAGCAACAGCAAAGCCGTAAAAAGTCGAGAGGGGTGGGGAGCAGAAGAATGATTCGAAAATGTAAAAGACAGACACAAAGGTAGAGAAAATGGGTATGGTGGGTACTGTGAAAGTTGTCGAATATTACATATAGTCGGGTCAAGGAAGTTGGAAGACAATTGTCGGTGTATCGACTTTTAGGACGCATGAGTACATGTTTCCTAGAATGAAACACGTGATGATAAATCAATCGCGCACCCCGTATTTTGATACACTAAATTTACCAAAGCGCTGCTGATTTATGTGGTATTTTTGAAATATTATAGCAATATTTCTAAGCAATTGCATATAATGATCCATGATACGAAATTTATGGAGGCCGAACTTAAATTTTTATAAAATTGATAGACTTTGATGTTCCATCTTCGTTACAATGTACTTTTATTTTTCGAGAAAAATCAAGTAATCTTTAAAAGTACTATTAGGATCAATATTGTGCATTCTAGTGATATATGAGGGCATGATTCAAATGCAAATATTTTGCCAATTTGACTTATTGATATATATTACTATTGTTTTGCATTTCAATCTAATTATGCAACAAATTTAGTCTCTCTTCAACGCCAAATTAACAATTTCCCTTGTGATACATTTCACTAATGTCTTAATATCATCCATATTCTCTCCTCTGTAATTGTAATGCAAATTATAAGTTAGTGGAAGTAATTAGCTTGTAGTATCTCAACGATTTAAACTTATAACCTCCAGCTGTAACGCTCACCAAATACTGGAACAATTCCTCTTGTGCTAACCTGTGTGGGAGACTTTTATCAAAATCTCCTGGCCTTTGTCAAGTATGGTGGGATTGGTATTGACAAGCTAGATCAGCGTATTCTTCAAATTAGCATAAAAATAAAGGAATAATGTACGAAGAGCTATTTAAATCATTATATCACAGAGCATAATCAAACGATCTAAAGTGTCTAAGTCTTTGGAAATATCATCGTATCTGATGCATATTTGTGCTATTTTCATATATTCATTTGTTTCCCATACCTTAATCTACCGACATTATTGGGCTAATTTTAAGATCTGCCAATGTGATGGCATTTTAAAATGAAATATGCATTGTCATTGAATTATGATTTATACTTTAGATAACTGATCTAAGAAATTGAAACTTAATTCAATTTACGATTTAGTTATTTAACGGTCATAAAGATTAATTAATTTTATAGATATGAGTATTTGTTTTATTCTTCATGAAACAATCTGGGATGCCGATATGTTTCTTTTTTTGCATTTATTAATATATTCCATTAATTAATGACCTGAAAATGAACACATTCGTGAATGAAAGTATGAGTAGGCATAAGTCTTCCGAGACATTACTTAATAACGTAGTTTCAACGATGATTAAAGATAATGAGTTTCATTAAAATAAATTTTCGACATTTTTTGTTATGAAAATTAGATAGTTGTTTCAAAATTTAAATAATTTAAAATGACAAGATAGCAAAATATAAAGAAAAAATATCTTTAACTGAAATTAGAGTGAGAAATTTAATCAAAGTTTATGAATATGTTGTTGATGAGGTCATTTGAATAAAGGTCACTTCACAAGGTTGTTCCTTTTCTAAAAAAGCCGGGTGGTACTTACGCTTTGGTATTCATCACTGTCTTGTCTTTTGCTAAAAATAGGTCTGTTATTTATAATTGTTAAACCTATATCTGTTTAAATTCACATTGCATTCTATTGTCTGGCAATTATTTATTTTAATTATTATTATTGCATATTTTTCCATTCAAATGATTATTTATTGTTATATTGGCTTGCAATGTTTTCAGCATATTGCGTACAATAATATCTATGGATAATTGCATAATTTTTGGTGTTTTGAATATGTGGTTGCTTTGCTATTTTCATAAATTTATCATCATTTCTGTTGTGTACTGTTTGTTATTCGTTGTCATCGCACACCAACCTAACTTTAATGGTTTTTCTTCATTTGTTTAGTAGGGTGCTTGCTTCTTCCTCGCCGTCCAGATAATGTTGTCTATTGACAAACGCCTTATTTTAAAAATTATCGTCCTCACATCCACCTTCTGGATTGGTGTCCAATTTATCCTCTTGCAGTATCTTGTTAGTCCAAGTAAGTCACTCATTTCTATTTTAATATTAATCCACTTTTCAGCCACTTTTGACCTATTTTATCAAATATCAATGCTCCTTAAAATTGGTTAGCCTTTTAGGTGATTATTAGTGTCTAAAGTTTGAATTAAAGTTACGAAAATGTATTTTATAGTAATCAAATATATATATATATATATATATATATATATATATATATATATATATATATATATATATATATCGTAATTGTAATATCCGCAGATTTAAATGTGTTTCTTTTTCGTTGGAGTTGTATGTAATTTTAATTTCGGCCATAGAAATTTTATACCTGTTACTTTCAAAAGTCCACATTTAGTTAAGCAATGTCTTTGGTTACTTATTTGATGCGGATTTTATGTTTCTCTATTGCGTATCCTGTCGCTCCTAAATCCCCAGAAATTCAGTATCAAAAGTGAATTTAAGAGAATGTTAGGTATGGATTCAACTACTTGTGTACGGGAATAGCATTGTGCCCTAACAAACCATTTTCTTTTTCTTGTCATATTTGAGTGTTTTAATGAGGGTACATTTAGTAGTACCTTAGCTGAAGCAAATTTGACTTGCGATTCCATATGAATTCCGCTGAAATTAATGTCATGTAGCTTTCAGGAGTTACTTATAATTTTTTCTGTAACTGAAAATGTTGGAATTATTTAGTTTGTAAGGTGGTGTTAAACTTGTTTCAGTATTCTTTGTTGAAACTTACTATTTGAATGTTAAATGGCACTTGACCTGATTTGACTTTACTTTTTATTACTCAATATAAATATGAGGGGGATAAGGCATTCTATTAATAGCTATTTTTAGTTTTTTTCATATTAATCTGATTTGCTTATTTAGTTTAAGAGGGTTGCCTTTGCTTATTATTAGAATTTCAAATGTTTTTTTCAAATTTATGTAATTCTCGATTATGTTTTATCGGTATTATTAAAGAATATACTGCTCCTTCGATGTCTTCTTTTATACAAGCACCCATTTTCTTTCCTCTATGCTTATGGAAGTGTCCTATAAAATTATAGTTTAAATTGCAATTCTGTTATCAAACCCATGACAAGTTGCTTGGTCTTCTTTTAACTTTCAATTAATATTTATTGACGGCTATTCAATACAATATATGCTCAGTTGGTAATGCAAATGATTATGAAGAAGTGGCATTCCGATCATTTTCAAAAAAGTGGCAATTGTGGCGGTTTGAATGACCTAGGTAATCAGGAGAACCTTAATTAATCTATACTTCAAAATTATAATACTGTTTGCTTAACAGCCTTTCTTTTATTACAAATTGGCTTGCATTTGGGATTCATATCGTTCGAACTATCATTTAGTGCATTCCTTTTTCCCGCATTGATTCACGCTTTGTTAACATTTTGTTTTACACTTCCACCTCATTTATCTTTTCCTTCTCAGCGATTGATCAGAAGGTTAGATCACCTTTGATGAATTCTTCGGATCAAGAGGATAATTTGGAACATGCAGCTCTTATGAGAGAAGCAGCAGCCTTGCTTTCCCGTTATGGTGGTGCCGGCGGAGCCGGTTCCTTATCCCTTCTGGGAGAAGGTGGAAAAGCTGTACGCTTACCCACTCATCTCATGGCAGACTCCAAAGCCAAGTTTGCATTGAATCAATTCGATGTGGTTATAAGCGATCTCATTAGTGTAAACCGTTCCCTCCCTGACGTTCGGCATGATTCGTAAGTAATTTAATTTTTTATTCTTTAAAATTCGAAAACAAAATAGTTATCTGATTTCTTATCTTTTTTTAATAGACCTTTACACGTTTTGTCCTACGATATTAATTCAATGTAGTTAACTTGTTTAATCTTCTTAGGAAAACATTGGGTCGATATTGTTTGTTTCACGGTGATCTCTAACCCTAGATCACATTTTGCATTTAATCAGGTTCATCGTTATTGATTAGCTTAATTAATCTATCTTTAATGAACCTATTTATTTATTTCAAATTCCAGGAGTTTTGATAGTTCTCATTAGCCCTTTAGCTGACTTCGAGCTTCATGGAAGAGATTAACATCAAAGTCACAAAAAGGGGATGGAGGGGGCCGGGAACAGAAGAGTGGTTCATAGATGTAAAGAGACAGACAGACACAAAGGTAGAGAAAATGGTGAGGTGAGAACTGTAAAGTGGTGGAATATGACATACCGTCGGGTTGTGGTAGTTTGAAGTTAACTGCCAGTTTATAGACTTTTTTTGCCGTATGAGTATACGTTGCCCACCGATTAATGGACTTTTTTGCCGTATGAGTATACGTTGCCCAGGGTGCACCGCGTGGAGGTAAGTCTATCGCGCACTCCTCTTTAATGAACCTACGCTAACAATTAACACACTATATTTTTATAATCATGCTATGTAAGATTCATCGTACATATTAGTAAGTGGAGTTTAATTTTATTACAGAAATATTGGACTGTAACTATAACGTAACCACTATTAAGTTTGTCATAAATGACGTACACAAGCCATTAGAACTGTCACAAGACTCTGCTAACAAGATAGTACTGTCTCAACTACCTTTGTCAACTGTCCATTTTGATTGTTGTCTTTTACTTTAGTCAGCTGTCAAGGCGAAACTGTTAAAATCTTTACAGAATTTAAGCTGACTTGTTTGTTTAATGGATAAATAACTGGAGTTGAAATGCAGAGCTTGAATTCCGTGTTTCTTTTTTCAAGTCCGCAATAGGCAATCAATGATGTAATTTCTCATTGGTTAAGAGCAATTGAAATGAGTGTTTGCTGTAAGTCTGGTAAATGATGTAAAGTTGATCGAAATGAAGTCAAGTTATCGAAGTGTCTTGCTTTATTTTATATTTGGTTTTCAGACCACACGTAGTTCACTTTCCAAAATGTAAATTTCTTAATCATCAGCCGCTTTACTGAGAGAATTCTTGCTCGCGATTTCCCCTTGCCTGCTTAATAAGGCCTGCCAATCTTACCACTTCATTTTAACTTTTTTCCATCTTTTAATTAAAACAGATCAAGACTGTCTTACATGGTATGCAGTAGCCGCACTATCTTAACATGTCGATGCTGAGTTAGGTGAATTGCTCAACCGAGCTAGCCTCTGTAAATTTTCAACTTCTAACTGATCGCCGCAGGCGTATATCAATTAGTGAGAAGTTTTTTTATATACTTATACCAAATGGCAGGCGTCTTGATGGTTATCATTAGCCCTTTAATTGACTTCAGACTTCACAGAGGGGAAGGAACATCAAATTTAAAAAAGTCGAAAGGGGGGGGGGACAGAAGAGTGTTTCAAAGATGTAAGAGACAAACACAAAGGTAGAACAAAGGTGAAGTGAGTACTGTGAAAATAGTCGAATATAGCATAGAGTGAGGTGATGGTAGTTTGAAGTGAGAAGTCAACTGCC